GACTAGAAAAAAATCCATGTAATGAATCTAAATGAAAAGCAGTGTCTAATGGTAAGCTCATAATAATGATAAATTTATCATAAAATAGTTTAACAATAAGTAAATATTTTTAATGTTCAGAATAAACAATACTATTTTATTTCTTGTTATTATATATGAACAAAATCAGAATAAAACGCAATGTGTTTCAAGTGACATTGAGTTTTACATAATAGAAATTTAATGAATTTTACAGTTTAGTAATTATGAAAGTGGTGTAAGTCCATTTATGGCCCAGAAAGAATATATTAGTTTGGATAAATTCACATAGAAGTCTTTATGCAATCAACTTACATATTTCTAAAGTCATAGAAACATTGTCAAACTTAGTACACTTTGTTTATATTTTTGAATCAACTAAAATGCAAATGTTTAAATATCTCGAAAGAAGAAAAAATGGACTTACACCACTTTCAAAATAAACGGTCCATATTTCTTTGGCATATTCCCACGGTATTTTCAATATTTTTTAAGGCATTTAAAAACTCGAAAAACTTAAACAGTTTACCTAAGTGTATTCCCTATTTCGTGCCGAACATAAAAAAAATATTGGCGCAATATTAATCAGTTTCTGTTGTTTCGAGCCAAAGTTACCCCAACTGGCGGTACCGTTACGGCGGTTTTACGAGTAGTTAAAGTACTTACCTATTGCCGTGGTCGCCCATAACGATTACCACCGTGTTCCGAAAATGTCCGTTTTCGTTCAATTCTCTGAGCAAATTGTAGACGTCCCCGTCCAAATATTGAGCGTTATTGAAATTCGTATGGGTAACGGCGATGTAAAAGGAGAAGAGAAAATACAGTTCTCGGCTATATTTTTCTATAAATTCTTTCATCCAATTGAATAAAATCGTGTACGTGGGAATATTTCCCAGACAATAGGTGGAACTTTTCTTCAGAAGAGAAGATTCGGATAAAGCCAACCATAATGGTCGCGGGTAATAATCGGTGGGTTTGCGAAGACAGCCTTTAGATAAATAATTTAAAATGGTATATTCTGGCTCGTCTTCGGTTAATGCCGTTACGTACCCTTCTTTTTTGAAGTTCTTCCATATAAATGGCCAATGGTCGTACGGTCCGGCGCTCTCGTTACCGGGCAGTTCTTGCGGTACCATTCGAACTTTCCTTCCAGTTAGCAGAGCGATCATGTTGGGGAAACTGTTATCCGCCACTTTAGTCAGGCCTTTCAATGTCTTAAAATAGAAAAGTAAATTTAAACGTCGTATTTACTTTTATTGTTCTAAATATTTTAAACTTGTACGTAAAAAGATGTGTCTAATCGACGACGATTCCGTCTCTACCGTCTATAAAACGTGTAAATTCGCATAAAAGAAAATCATCATTCCTAGTCGTGTAAAAACTTATTAAATATAAAATATTTGCGCTTTGGCACTAATAATTGGGGATTATCGACGAATAGCGCGGCTTTAATACTCTTTTTATGGAAAGATTCTTTTGCAAAAATTGTCAAAACTTCATTCTTAAAACATTAACGACTCGGATTTTCAAAATTCCGAATCGTATCTTATAGAAGAATTCAAACGGATTCCAACGAAAAAGCCGTTTTGTTCTACCCGATTCCGTTTCCCATAGAAAAAGCGTTACATTTCGAACAATCGGCCTTAATTCATTTATAAACAAATAAATAACAGAGGATTAACATGTACGTTTTGAAAAATGGCGGTAGCGAATTTCAAAATACAGATACGAGACATCAAGTAAGCCGTTTAATCACGAAACGGGCCAACAGATGGCGATACGTCTAATCGAATACCGAGGGCGCGGTCCGTTTCGCAAGCGAGCTTAATTAGCCGCTGGTATTTGTCGCGTCAAAATAATGATTTAACGCGTTTGATAAACGTAGTGAAAAAATTCGGTATAAACAACGAACCAAACCCTTCGCCTACCGGAAGAGTTAGGAAGTAAACAAACCGAAAGACATACGCGGACCCCTTCGACCTTTCGTCTCCTCCGAACAGCGCGAAAAACTCGCCGTTCAAAGGTTCCCGCGGGCCTCTGGCACGCCACGAAGCCAGCTGGAGGTAAGGGCTACCTACTTACGATACGGCGGGTAATGGTTACGCCGCGTTACGGGGGGTGGGGAATATTTACGACGTCGTTACTTAATTCTAGAGAGTCTTAGTTTGTTAAATACGTAGGGGCTAAGTCGCCGGTAGTTTTATCGTTTTTGTGGCCGAGGTATGGCGTAGTAACGCGTGTTATTTGTGTACGACACCGCTTTGTACGCGTTTATTCGTAATTAACGAATAACGTAACTTTCGGTACACCGCGCCGCGTATCACTACTTAGTACTTATACGCGTTACGTAATTTTAAGGAAGAGTACGTACGACGGCGTTACGAGAGTAAAACGATAGACGGTCGAAGAAGTATAAAAATACTTTTACGTAATTTATGGACGTTCCCCTAATCTCGAAAAACGGGAGTGTACAATAGCGCTTTTCTACGAACGGGTCCGGTTCCGTAGGTAGTTGGCGGTCGACATTTAAGGAGTTACGGACCATTCCGGCTTTTTATTATATGCCAGGGGTGGGCGAGCGAAAGTTCGGTGGGAGCCGAAATGTAGGTTTTGCAAAATGCACGGGAGCCGCTGTACGGCGATTTTATTATATAATATAAAACAAATATTAAATTTTTTAAATAAACGTATTTTCACAAAACTGTAAAAATAATAATAAAAAGCAGAAATTAACGCTTTCGGTAAGAGCCGCATTTGCCCGTGTCTGTTGCACTCAATTTAATACACCGTCGGGTATATCAGAACGATTGATCGACGGGTGCGTTATCGTTTAGCAATTTAGTCGATTGATAAATCTGACTTTTTAAAATCGAAGGGAAAAGTACGATCTGGTTAAAATATAATAACGTGGTACGTAACGTTGTATTTTCGCCACCGACGTCCAACGTAATCGATGACGTTAGTAATAATAATTATAATTTTCGGGGGGGGGCGCTTCTGTCTGCCGAAGCTGCTGGCGCGTTTATTTATTCACTTCAAATACAGGTAAAGAACGTATCCTGTTAAACAATTTTAAGTTAAAAAATTTTTTTAGTTTGTGCTGTGTGTTAACATTATAATTGTTGATAAATCTATCAACATAATTAATACGCAACGCTGGCCGATTAAAAGAGGAAGACCACCGCTTCAAAAGTCAAAATCAAATAGTAGAAAGGAATCTGCTTCGACCATTAATTCCAGGTTAATTACTGACTACAATTTACACGTCGAAAGAACTTCTCCTGAACCATCCTCTGCAAACGCAGGTTTGAACTCTGAAACTACACTTTTAAGTTCACAACTATCAGGTGAGCCAATTGATTTTTTATCTTCGCCAGGAAAAAATTCATCCGATATATCAAGTATAACACTATGGAATAAAATTTCTGAATTAATTAATGTTTCTAATACGAGAATATTAAATCAAATGACTATTATCAAAGAAGATCTGCATCAGATTCGTAATAGTATCCAAGAAACTAAAGCCCAGAATCAAAAAATGAATAGCCAAATAATTAATCTTGAACAACAAATTGCTAATTTGAAAATAGAAAATGAAAGTATGCAATATCGAATGGATAATATGGTTAATGCGCAACATGGCAATAATATAATGTTATATAGATATCCCAGTAAAACTAGTCCTACCAAGCTAGAAGTGTTTAATCTTAGTAATGAATCATTAAAATTACATGAAGTTACAATGGATGACTTAATAGCGATTATTCCTATAACTAAATCACAGTATCCAACAATTAAATTAATTATTAAAAATACTCAAATAAGAGATTACATATATTCGAGTTTTATAAAAATGAAACAGCAAAACCTATCGAACGTCTGGAAAGAAATTCAAATTTCACAGGACCTCATAAAAAGATCTAGATTAAGACGTAAACAATTAATTCCTGTTTTAAGCGAGTTAAGGAAAGCGGGTAAATATCCAAAACTCCTAGGCCATACTATACTGTTGGGCAATTATTCTTTGACGTATAGCTATGTGTTGGAGGGGCTGGTATACTTGGATTCTTTTACCCCGTATTCAATTTCTGAGAACACTCCGCAATGACATACGATCAATTTAAATACTTGTATTCAAGACTTACGTTTTGTGGAGACTCAATTATTAAGTCCCTTGCCTGCTGCACATAATAATAATGAAAGTTTATACGATATTACGTCCAATCAAAAAGTCTCCTACTCTGTAATAATTAATTGAAACTCCCAGGGTCTTAAGTGATGTTAAACAGAATAAAATGGGCCATGACCTTTTAAAATTAACGACTCAAGCTCAACTATAAATTCTTAATAGTAGAATTGGAAAGGTCTATTCTTCTGCATTTACTTGTGTATTCACTTTGGGAAGTTCTACAACCGAACTGTTTATATGTTTAGAATTTTTAGTAGATTTACGCTCGGAAATTTATGAACTAAATTGTGACTTATCGGGCCATTTTCCTGCTAGTTTTTACTTTGGATTGAAAGATTTGGATGATATTAATTATATTATGCCGAAGTATCTGATAATCGAAAAGGTTAGATATTCCAATATCAACAGAAGAACTGGATTTATCAATTGGTAAATTAAAAACGTAAACAGCTCCTGGAATGGATATAATTACCACTAAATTTATTAAACTTGTTCTGCCAGCGGGTAGGCAAGTTCTACTTGATTTTTATAACCATTTTTATAAAACATTTATTATATTCTTACCGAATGTCCAAAGATTGAAGAAGCGCAATGTAAATTTAAATTAAAAGAGATTTTGATTTAATTTAAGAAGAAAATTTCAGAACCAATCTAGAAAAAATTTCATTATGTAAGATGTATAATATTCATAATTTTTTTGTTTCAATTTAATGAATCTGAAATATGATATGTACATTGAATGATTAATATGTTATGTTTAGTAAATTTTATGTAACAAGATATTTAAAAAAATGTTCCAATAAGTAATAATTGTATTTTTGTAATTCTTTAAAGCTAACCCCCTGTAACAAGATTTTTCTTATTACAATAAAGTATTTGTAATAATTTCGTAAAATAATTATAATTTTCTCCAGAAAATGTATTACCCTTTCACTATTGTCGGGATTATCTATAAGTAGCTTCTACGATTAGCCATAAAAATACAACTAAACTAAATTAAATGAATAAAATGTATTTATTTCATTTTTCCATCCCGATTTTATTTCAATGCCGAGTTAGGAAACGAGGAAAATTTTCGTAAGCACGCCGGAGTAATGGCAAATTACGTAATCTACGGCATTCCGGTAGGCGGATTATATCAATACATTACCACGCAATTTAAATGAAATAAACTTGTAAAGCTGTTTTTGCTGTTCCGTAACGGCGACTGAAAATATTAAATCAAATGACCGAAGCTAATGCAATTTTCACAAGTTTTTAAAGATCCGGCTGTCCTTTTGCCCTTTACGTAATCCACTAAAAATATAAAAGCTCTGAAAACGTAAGGCCTGACCTCTTTTCTCACCGACGGAACTCGATTTGCATAACCTACGACTACTCGAAAGTAGAAAAATACCCCAATGATATATTTCGCGGATAAACCCAGTGTGCCGAGCGTACGCAACGAAAACTAATCGAAAATTAAGCAAACTTCGGAGAACGAATTACTTTCCGTAAAAAATAGTTGCCATCTTTTCCTCGTTAATCCATTCGATTAGGAAAAATCCAGAGCCATTCGATTCTTTTCGCCATCGATATAGACAGTCGGCATTAGTTCGCTCGGTCCGTATTGCCGAATGGATGGTAATGATGGACGGAGGCAAATAAGAATAAAAACAACGAATCAACAATTATAAAGGAATTTTATATATTTTGCGTTAATATTTTATATTCGTACTTCGCTTTGACACTCGTTCCTTCCAATGAAACGTAGACTGACGATATCGAGTGAGCGTAGGACGTCGCTATACGGGTGGAGGGAACCTCTGAACCGGCCATCGAGTTATTCGCTGTCGAATAACTCGATGGCGTACGGTACGACGTTAGTTTAAACGTAGATGAGCTATCGGCCCGTGCCGACTTTATCCGCCTTAGAAAGTGAGGAGAAGAAAAGTAGTCTAGAGGAGAATGGTTTGGGAAGTAGGGGGGATAGGAAAGATAAAGAGTAGTGAGGATCTCGGGGCGCCTTATCGGCACTATTACAAC